CCCCGGGCAACGCCGGGTACTACTGCTAGTTTTAAATATAGTTAGCGCGGGGCTTAGAAAGCAAATTTACCTTTTTTTTTCTTTTCTTTTTTTAAATTTGTTTTAAATTTAAAAAAATTATGCTGAATTCATCATCTGAGATGTTATTGAATTATAATGCCAATGGAGATTTAATTGAGAAATGTTTAACAAAATCCATTGAGCAATATGTTTTGTTTTTAAATTGATTTTTTTTAGTGTTTTTTTTTTTTTTGCAAATATGTATGGTTACGGTAGGAACGCAAAAAATAATTTCCTTATTTTAAAATATTACTTATGAATTTTATTTTATTTAAATTAATAAACCAAATTAAAATAGTACTTAAAGAATATTTTAAATGAAAATAGTATTACTTATTTTGTCTATGCCTCCCCCCCCTGCCCACGAATAGGAATCATGGCTATTATTCCCTTATCCTACAATAAAGCGTACATACATTGTCACTTAGTTTTCTTTCAATCGTGACTTTTTTCAGGTCACGTTAAATAAAATAGAAATAAACTGCCCCCAAAACAATCAATCTACATTTTTAACTTTTAAAACAAATTCTAACATCCCTTTTTTTTTCTCATCACTTTCTTTTCGCTTCAGAACACCGCCGCTTAATGTTCCGAAGAGAAAATACGTTTTTTTTGTTTGTTTGTGTTTTTAGCAAAATTAACATATTATTAAATTACAAAGTTTTACCTGATTGAACGAGTACTTAATAATAAAAAAAGGTTGAAAAATTGTTCTTTTTTATTCTTACTTTTCGAGCACTTTTTTCTGTCTGATTGCGTAATACTTTCCAATCAAATATTGATTGCCTAAAAAGGATATTTTTCAGAATTACTTTCATACTTGAATTCTCGTTTTAACGATAGTCAAGAAAAGGTAAAGGATAAAAGTAGAATATTGAATTGTATCTTTCGAGATTGCTGACCCTGATTAAGTTAAAAAATAATTAAAATTAAAATAAATCAACGTTTTTTGAAATCATGGCTTTACTTGGACTCGAACCAATGAAGCTGGCAAGTAATTCAACAATAAGATTTTTCGAGAGAACGTTTTAAGAGTTTCTGTGCGGTAAATAGTTGCATAAAAACGTGTTGAATATTGTACACACGAAATAGGGCAGATGTCTGCAATGCATCCACAATAAGTGTCACAATATGAGGTTTTTGTTTTTTAAAAAAATGTCAGTGATAAGACACGCTTAGAAAGAGAAGAGAAGAAAATAAGGTAGCACACGTTGTGTACCTTGTAATAATTAAATACACAAACATAAAAACAGAAAAGAAAAAAATATCCATGTGCAGTTCAATGCCGGTTTAACGAGAAGAAAAATATTTAATTATTATTTCAAATTCCCTTGCTTGTGATGTAGACATATGTTATATCACGTGCTCAGCCAACTTGTAAAATCTTGACACGGCAGAAATCGTATACGTTTCACGACATTTATAAGCAGATAAGCCACAAAAAAAATAAAGGATCAATATTATTACCTGCCAGACAACTTAAGTCGACTTAACTTTTAGTTTTATAACATCAAATAAAGTCAAATGAAGAATATAAAAAAGCCCCACCACCACAAAAAAAACTGAAGGTGAAAATTACGATGTTGTAGAAAAAAAAAAAAAAAAATTAAATTAACGTGCTTATTTTTTTATTAACCATCATCAATGTTGTATTGTTACATGAAATAATTTTTGCCCTTTAGTGAATCATTTTTAAACGATACTTATTGAATCAAATATTTCAAAAAAAAACAAACAAAAAAAAAACATACTAATCCCCAATTTAAAATAAAAATATAAATAAAAGTAAATTTTAACTTTTTAAAGTTATCATGCTCTTTTTCGTAATAAATTTTGCTAATGATCAAATCAAATCTCTAGTTTAATTGAAAAAATAAAACCCATTTTAAAAAGTTTGTTAAAATATATTTTTTAATTGGCAATGTTTTAAACAATTATTTTTTGTCAACAAAAAGTTCCTAACATTTTAAAAACTTCACTAAAAAATAAATAAATAAAGTTAATTGTGAATACTATTTTTTTTTTGTAGGCAGCACGAAGGAAACTTTAGTCGGGTTGAAAAAAAAAAAAAAATAAATAAAAATAAAATGATTTGTTTGAAAGAAAAATAAAATAAAGCATAATAATAATCATATCGTTAATCCACGTGGATTATCCAATGTAAATGTGTATTTCTAAATTCTAGGCGAGGCTAAATTTGATACTACAACAGACACACAAGTGATAATGATTTCTTTGAACGTGACTGAAATTTCAGTTACATATGCCAATGAGTAACAGTAGTGTAGTGTAATACAAAGAATCAGTATTTAAATTCAATATCAGAATTTGTTATCCACATTGATTATTCAGAGCAATTTTATGTTGCTAAAACGAATCCCATGTATACTAGTATTTACACATATGAGATTCACATTTTAAAAACACGAAACACGACCTTGTGCCATATTTCGCTCAATTTTTTCTTTTTCTTCTTCAAGGTGGTTTCATAAGTTTCATTTATTATAAATACGAAAAATCGCAAGCCACAAAATGTCCTAATTTTAACTAACAACATAACGTTTTATTTTATCAGTGTTTACAAACAATATGATTTCAAAATAACACAGAAAACGAAATAATTGATTTGGCTTTGGCATAAATAATGAATAACAAATTAAATTTAAGAAAAAGGTAGAAGAACCACTTCATCTTTTATTCATTTTATTATTTTTCAAATTGAAACCAATTTATTTATTTATTTTTATACCTGAGTGAGTGCATGAAGAAAGAATATTATGGAAAAGTCGATAAATTTAAATTATCTTTTATATTTATTTTATTTATTAGTACAAAAATATATTTTTTCTTGACTGCATAAAAAGAAAAACACTTTATCGTAAATTGCACTGCAAACATGCGAGGAAAAATCGCCTTTCCGGATTGATTTATTTATTTATTTTTTTGAAGTCGACGATCTGTTGAGAATTAAATTAAATTCTATCTTTTTCAGCGATGTAAATAAATAGTTCTTTTTTATTTATTTTTAAACAAACCAAATCGAGTTTGTGATGTAGGCGTACTCACTGAAAATGATAATCGTGTTTAAAAGGAAAACAGTCACAAAGAAACTGTAAGAAACACGATAAAAAAAGAAAACAAAAAAAAAAAAACAATAATGAAGTTTTCTAGTAAAAAATAAATAAAATGAAAATTCATCCCAAATAACTCGACTTGAAGCATTAATAAAGCATGAAAGCATAAAAAATTAATTAAAACAGTTTTATTTATTTACTCCGCATTTGTTACAATTTTAAAATGGCCAGGTACGAAAAATCATGTGAAAAAGCGACTTTATTATCTAAAAAAGATTCTAAGACTTCTTTTAAACATCGAATAATAAATAAATCTAAAAAGTTGCATAAATTTTAAGTAAATTTTCAATATTAACAAATAAGTACTCGACCATTAAAAAAATAAAATGATGCTAATGCAACTATTAATAAAAAAAATTAAATTCCAAGAATTTCTAAAAAATGAAAACACTTCTTCAGTCAGCTTCATTATCATCCACAACGAACTGAAATAGTATGATTAAATTTAAAAGAAACAATATTAAAAATAAACGAAAAATACACACGAAATAAACTTACTTAATTAGAGCTGATAATTAATATTTAAAAATAAAACCGAGAAAAGATTATTTGTTTTCGTCAAAAAACACTTTTTTCTACCAATCAGATAAAGTTCCTTGACTTTTTAATGAATTTGTATCATTACTTGATTAAAAAAAGTTTTAAAATGATTCTTGGCATTATTAGAAACTTTATAAAAATAGAAATGAATCTATCATTGTCAACCTTTGTAAAAATTTTCGACTAAGTATATATATATATGCAGTTGCTCATTTTGCTCTTTGAATAAAAATAAAATCGAAAGATAATTTGCATTAAAAAGCAAGAAAACTTTGCTTACAAATAGCATCAGAAAAATGCGATGAAGAAAAATAAAAAAGAAGTCGGAAGTTTGTTACCATCGGTAAAAGTTTTACTTTGTTTACATTTACAAATATTTTATGAGAGAACAAAGTGGTTTCACTCCAACCAAAAGTAACAAATGAAACCGGTTTCCGTTTGGATAATTAACACAAAAACAATCAAAGGCAAAGCTATTTTTTTCATGAATTTTTAAAAAATGAGTTATTTAAAAACATCATGATTAGGTTATTTTTGTTGTTGTTTGTTCCAGTCGGAGTTTGTTTTTTTTAAACCACTTTTCATGTGTTTTATTTCGAACACGTCCCCATCAGAAAAAGTAAAGATGCATTTTTACTGCTAAATAAACCGACGATCTATTTCTAAGTTTAGTTATTCTCTCATCTACTGGTCTTGGATTCAACAAAATAGAATTATCAGCGAACATTTTAAAATTTTAGGAATTAAAAACTGCATAATGAACTTTTGTCAATAAGAGTGAGTCCATAAAGTTAGAGATGATTTTTATTTTTTAACAATAATCCTTACTTTGGGTTGTGATGTTTTTTTTTTCTTTTTTATGAAGGTTAAAATAAAATCCATAAACATTTCTGCTGATACGGAACGAAAAATAAAGCCACAACTCTTGATGCTTTACGTTGAAAGCGATTATATAACTAAAAACACAACAGATGTAATCTATTCACAATTAATTTAGAGAATAAGGAAAGTGAGATCGATTGTTATTTTTACTGAAATTAAAATAAATAAAAAACATTAAAAAATAAACTCGTGTTGGTAAAAAAATGAAAACCGTTTAAAAGTTTAACTTGTAATTCAGAAATTTTTCAAATATTTTGATGGAATGTTCATTAATTAAAATATTCTCAGATAAAATATAAATAAAAATTAATGAATTAGCAAAAAAGATACAAAAACCAAGCAGAAAACAGCAAAGTATATAAAACAACGATCGAAAAGTCTAACCTTTGACAGCGGTTTCCACAGCTTTTCGTTGAAGATCGGATTTAAAGTCTTCGTGGTTGAATACATTTTGCAGTAGATTTACCACTCTCGTCTCATTCATGCTGTCTAGTATAGCGAGGTTGGATTATTCAAGTAAAGCCTATTTAAAAAGAATTTTTATACATCATCCATTTATGACCACAAGATCGGCAAAGTGTAAGAGGCGACATTCAGCCACTTTCAAAATCCCAAACTCAAATTGTTATTAAAGCGGCGTAAGAAGGGAACATAAAACGGAAGTCACCGGTCAGCTGTGCGTCACATCCGCTTTCTCATTAAAATCAAAAGTTTTTAAAACAAGAACTCCGAAAAAGCATCTACGTATTTGTCTACTACTATTTTCAAAAGTTTAATAGCACCATTAAATTTGAAAACCACAGACAGAGATTTAGCAAGTTATATTATCGTTATTATAAGTGTTTTTACTTGGGCACTTCGACGTGGTGTTAAAAATGGTTAGTAAGTTTGTGTCGCTAGTGTGGGAGAATGAAAATAAAATAAAAAAATGAAAAATTTCATTCTTACATCATGCAAAAGGAAACTAAAAAAGGTTTCCAGTCGCGTGTGAATTTTATGACCCCACTTCCGGAAAGTAGATGACCGTTCTCTTCTCACTTCCCAACCGCTGAGTTCTTCTGACGTACGTGTTTGGTAGCCGTCCCAACGAAAGGGAAATTCGGCCACCCTCACTCAACCTCAAGCTGACTTGAAGTCGAACATTGTCTATACTTTCGCATCTTTGTACCCACATGTGTCAATAAACATTGACGATTCATTTTCTATTCCAGTCTTCATTTTGTTTTTGTTATCTATTGCGGTCCACCAACATTGAACATGGCACAAAGTCAAATACAACTCTCCACACTAGAGAGCAATTATAACTGATGAGTTTGATCATATCATTATGTGCTCCATACTTGCAGCATTGTGCCAACTGAAACTATAGTAAATCCTTATAAGCAGTTTAGTTTTGCACAGGAAAGACATGTAAGAAATTGGTCTTTGGGACTAAATTTGCTAACCAAATAAAAATACTATACTATTGGTAGAGAGGCAAGATACAAACTTTTTCATGTATGATGAATCAAACTTTATGACCTTGAGGGTACATCTTGAAAAAAGGGAAATAGTTCTTCCCTTTGACTCACTGTTGTAGTGGAAAGTTTGGTGGTTACCATTTATTTAATGGTGTTGATGGCCCAAATCAATCCATACAATTTTTCACTCTACAAATATGTTAAGAGAAAACAACAAGAAACATTTGTGATAAAAGACAAAAAGCAAATATTTGAATAAAAATTAATTTTCAATATATGTTTGTAATGAAAATATTTTACAGAAATGTGAATTTTTTTAGCTGAAATCTTGTTAGTTTAATTCATGTTGAACTCAAGTTTGGTGAAAGATTAAATTTTGTTAGTGAGTTCTGATATGAAAGGATGTTTGCTAGAATCTGTTATTGAAGATTCTGTAAATTAATTGCAAGAGTAAAATTTACATTTAAGAATTTACTGTTCATGTAAGTAGTAAATGTTTGTAAAGTTCAATACAATTTTGTGATCAAAGAAGTTATCTACATTTTATTGTTTTGTGTAATACAATGTTCTCAAATGTTGAGAAATAAAGTTGATTTGTTAGCAGGAATTTTCGTTTAACTTCTTCATAAGGAATTTTGTGAATGGGTGAGTTTTGGTGAGTGAGTGTAAATATCGTTAAGTTTGTATAATATTCGTATGAACAAAAACTTAAGATTGTGTGACATGAAGTTTAGTTGTAATTCGTTTGATGTCACAATGCTCACTGGTGAGTATGAATAAGTTTCTGTTTTTATTTGCTTTGGGTGGCTCACAGAGACAAGGTGCAAACCTGGATTTCGGTCATGAGCTGTAAAAATTAGTTAAGCGTGGGTGGATAGTCACACCTACTTGTATATTTAACCAATGAGGACTTGAGATTTTTTTGAAAGTGTATGAAGTTGAAAGTGTTCTGTGATCCATTTTTTGCACAGATTTGACCCAACTATTTTGGGTATTGGAATAATGTAGAATTTGGGTTCTACACTGTTATATACAAACTGAAACTGAGCCAATATAATTTATTTACAAGCTGAGAAAAAAAAACTGAAATAAGTCTGAGAGTCTAGTTTAACAAATGTGTTTCAAATACTAAATTTTCAATGACATGCAGAATAAAGATTTCTATTGAATTTTG